AACTGTAAGTGTATTTAATTTAGTTATGTTAATTATGATAGTTTAGTTATAATGTAAATACAATAAAACTTGAACCAAGATTTATAATAATTATCATTTTGATCCGTACATTAGTAATGTCTGACTGGGCCTCGTGCCACTTTATGTTCAACAAATTGGGCCCCGAGGTCAAAAAGGTTAAGAACCCCTGATTTAAATGGATGTTATTAGTGGTTATCAGTCCCAAAGGATAGCTTCAGACTGTCCCGACAGTGCCCCCTAGTGGGTTACCAGTGCCATATACGTTGGAAGGCAACAATCTGCTAGAGTCCAGTCTACAGTACTTTATCGTAACCCAGGTCATTTTCTCTAAACATAACCTTAGTGGCTTTATGCCTCATATTAACCAACTGACAGTCTGAAGCCATTCTATGGGACTGATCACCGCTAATAACGTCCATTTAATGGATGATAACATCCGAAGCGGATGGATCATTCCACAGCAGAGTGTGTTACTACAACACACACAGATGGAAGTAAATTTAAGCAGCTGAGATCATGTCCTGGAATAGTTCAGAGCCATGAAAGTGAGATGGTCTCACCCAGAGGACCAGAGTGTTCATCAGACGATCGATGCTGGTACGTTTGAACTTGGTGCGGCCGCTGTTCTGCATTAGTTTGGTATCTGGGCCTGGGACAGAAACAGAACAGTGATGAGTCGTTCCAAACATCAATGACATCATCTGTTAGGCACACACACACACACACACACACACAAACACACACACACACACACACACACACCTGCAAAGATGACCAGGCCGTAGCAGGCCTCGGTGTTGCGGAGGACACAGCCTCGGAGCAGCATGTTCTGATTGGTCAGGAGGTACTTTCTGTCCCGCCAGTACAGAGACCCACAAAAACGATCCAGCTTGTTGTTGGGAGGCTCACACACCACCTCACCTGCACACAAATACAGGCCACGATAACAACAAAACACACACACACAAACCTCAGTTACAGACCACTACATGATCACCAAATTCAGTTCTTCTCAAACCTATTTGCACATCTTCCTGTCACACAAACACGCTCTGTAAGGCGATACGAGGCCAAGTGTGGGCTGGTTTGCTGCTGTAATGCATTTTCCTGGGCAGGTGAGGAGTGAGTGGGCGTGCTCTGCTGACTCAAAGCTCTTTCTCCGGTGGGTGGGGGATGATGATGAGGTTGTCATTTAGCGGTGGCAGAGAAGGACGGAAAGTGTGACTGCTTTGTGTGCCTTTTCAATTATTCATGTGTCGGAGAGTAAAGATGGAAAACTTCTGATTTACACAGCTAGAACATCACGGTTATCAAAGGTGACGTAGAGGAAATGCAGAGGAGATGAATTTATTCCCAAATCTCACCGTTAAACGTTGCCAAATTATTGGGGTCACCAAGCTCGGCTGTGACTGGTACCGACTGACGCACCTTCATGTTGGTTTCTCTGCAAGGCAATGAAAACAAGAGCTGTTGAAGGACTTTCTAACACCTCTTCTTGTGAGGAGCTTCAGATGTTCATGTGTGTTTCTGACCCGTCTAGCTCGGCCGTCTCTATGTAACACAGACCGTGAGGTTCGCTGCTCGACAACAGGAGGACGTCAGCCTGAAAACAAACTGCTGAGTCAGCAAACACTGCAGAGATCAGGCAGCTAAACTGATAAAAGACACAAAACAGACTCATCAAGCATGGAGACAAGGTCAACTAGAGCAGAGATTCTTAACCCATGGGCCCACAGCGCCATCTTGAGGGCCTCAAAAGAACAACAGTTTTTAACTTTGGGCCACAGAGGGCCGTGGGACCA